CTCACAGAAAAAGACTAGACTTACTGGTCTGATGAAGACTGGAGAAACCCCAAGAGTATGGCTCCCAGACACACTTTTAATCCAGTACTGAAGTCACTCCTGAGGTTCACTCTTCAGTAAAAGATTAGACACGTCCGTAAAACAAATAACAATACACGTAGCTCAACCATGTATACGAGACTAACTGGGCACACCAGCCCAGGGGCAAGGACAAGAAGGCAAAAGGGGGAAGGGAAGCTGGACAAATGGAAATGGGGAACCAAGATCCGGAAGGGAGAGTGTTGACACATTGCAGGGTTGGCAACCAATGTCCCAAATAATATGTGTATTAATTGTTTAATGAGAAAATAGTTTGCTCTGTAAACCTTCACCTAAAGCACAATAAATAAAAAAAAAGATACAACCTAATCCTGTAGATTGAATTCTGCCTTATTAACGTAACAGCCTCTAATCCTGCTTTATTAACTTCTGAGAGGATAGGATTAAAACACATATGATAATGACATCAGATGACAAAATGGTAGACACCCACACAATACTGGGAATCATGGCTATCTTTGTCATCTAGTGCTGCTATAACAGAAATATCACAAGTGGATGGCTTTAACAAAGAGAAGTTTATTTCCTCACAGTAAAGTACGCTAAAAGTCCAAATTCAGGGTGTCAGCTCCAGGGGAAGGCTCTCTCTCTGTCAGCCTTCTCATCAATCTTCCCTTGGACTAGGAGCTTCTCCACACAGGAACCCCAGATCCAAAGGACACCCTCTGCTCCCAGAACTGCTTTCTTGGTGGTATGAGGTCTCCCTGTCCCTTGGCTCACTTCTCTCTTTTATATCTCAAGAGAGTGCCTCAAGACAAAATCCAATCTTGTAGATTAAGTCCTGCCGCACTAACACAACTGCTGTCCACCCTCCCTTATTAACATCATAGGCGCAGGATTTACAACATACAGGAAAATCACACAATACCAGGAATGGCCCATCCAACTTGATCCACACGTTTTTGGGGGGACATAATTCAATCCATGACAATGGTCTAGCCAAGCTGACACATATTTTTGGGGAACACAATTCAATCGATAACACTATACTTTTTCAAGGTTCTTACAACTTATATGAATTAGTAAAATACTAAATCTAAACAGGTTGTGATAAGTTAAGGATGCATATTATATTCCTGAAAGCAACCACTAAAATCATAATGCAAAGAGCTTTATCTAAAAAGCCAATAGAGAAATTAGGATGAAATTCTGATTAATTAATTAATCCAAAAAATATAGGAAATGAGTGGATAAACTACAGTAAACATAATTAATGGGGAAACTTTAAGGCATTTCCATAAAATCAGGGACAAGATAAGGACACACCCTATCACTGCTGTTATACTACTTACCATAGTGTTTTTCAAATATTTGAACTGACATATTTGTGGATTGTGAAGTTAAATTAGAGTTACAGCCAGACTTTTTAAGAAAACAGAAGAGAAAAATTTATGTATTGTACAAAATAAGGGTAGATATCTCTCAGGAAAATTGTGTTTCAGTTACATAAATATATATAATATATATACTAGGGGTTGTGGTCAAAATAGTTTAAAAGTACTTATTTAATATGTTACTGGAGATCCTAGCTAATGCTACTTGACAAGGAGAAAAAATAAAAGAGCTGTAAGAATTAAAAAAGAAGGTGTAAAGTAGTCATTATTTGAAAATGATATGATCATTTACGCAGAAAGCCCAACAGAATCAACAGACGATCTATTACACCTAACAAGAAAAATCAACTAGATTTTACAAAAGTGAGCCATACTTAGCAAAAGCAAATGTGCTCATCTATGTCAGCAAAAACCTAGTAGGAAAATATAATAGAAAACAAGACACTATTCACACCAGCATAAATTACCTGAGAAGTCATGTCCAACACCTTTGTGGAAAATAATTTCAAACTCCATTAAAGGGCATAAGAGAAATCTGAATAATTGGAGATATACTTTGTGTTCAAGGATGGAATGACATTTCACAGTAAAGATATCATTTGTCTCCCAGATCAATATACTCAATGTACTCCCAATCAAAACTCTAGCTAATTTTTATTTTTGAGATCCATATACAGCTTAGACAAGTTTGAAAAAAGAACGAAAGAAGGAGGGTTTCAGGGAGACTGTTCACTAAATGTTGTCACATACACAAAACAAAAATAAAACAGAAAGTATGGTACTAGTTCATGAACAAACAGACATAAAGAACAAAAAAGAGCTCAGAAATAGGCCCAAGTATGTATATTGATCCACCTCCTGTCTTTCAATTTGTCCTATTGTAGTGGCCTGCATGTTACTGTGTTGCTTGAAACTACACCACCAGTAGGTATGCAAATATGAGCAAGGCTACTCATGGTAGGGAAGTTTTGGTGTAGCTTCCAGACTAAAATAGATTAGGGAGAAAGGCCTGGTGATCTACTTCCAAAAATTAGCCAAGGGAAACCCTATCAATCACAACAGAATACTGCCCAATATAGGGCTGGAAGATGAGCCCCCTAGGTTGGAAGGTACTCAAAATACACAACAGCTACAACAATGGACTCGAGTATAACAGTGATAGTGAAGATAGTGCAGGACTGGACAATGTTCTATTTTGTTGTACACAGGATCACCTTGAGTCAGAGGTGATTTGACAGCAACTAGCCACATATACATTGATATACAACTAAAGGGGCAGCGAAACACCAGGAAAACCTATAGAAACACGGTAACAGCAAAGAGTAGAAGTCCAAATGGCTCCCAAGTTTCTGAAGAGAAGCTCCAGCTCATTAGAAATTGTAACATTTAAATTAGAAGGAAGGGATGCCATGCTACATGCCATGCTACACCCTTCAGAATGGCAAGATTATAAAGATCCATTCGCAAGAACGTCCTTGCTGGGAAGGCAGGCATGGAGCTGGAGTTGGAACAACATATGGGGCAGGAAGCTCAGCCTGGTCTGGGTGGAGAGGAATCGAGGCCAGGAGATGGCAGGAACGCAGGAATGAGCAGCTTCCCATTGCTCATGCTGTCTTGTCAGGCCCCCTAGAATCTTCCCAGTTCCCAAACCCTTCAGCCCTCTGGACTTCCCAGGCCAGGGCAGATCCTGCCCTCAGACCCAGCTAAACTGGCAGGCTTAAAGAGCAGCCTGGACCAAGACAGGCTGAGCTGACAGCCCTTCCTAAACCCAGTCTCCCAGCTCTGTGCCTCGTCACACCCTCCGGCTCAGTGGTGGCCAGCAGGGAGGGCTCATGTGGACATTCCAACACAGTGCTGTCCCCACAGGTCAGCCACATGCTGACAGGGAAGTATACCCTCCTCTCTCACACTACCCCTCCTTCTAGGTCAGAGGGCCATTCAAGATCCTGGGGTAGAAAGGCAGACACACACACACACACACACACACACACACACATGCACACACACATGCACACACAAGCATGCATACATGCACAGGCACACGTTTAGGTGCAGAATCTGTCTGGAGATGCAGAAATGAAGGAGCAGCACTGTGAGCCTCAGGGGTGGGGGTAGCTGGATATGGAGCCAGGCCCTGGCTCTAGACATGCACACAGCCGGGGCAAGACTGGGTGTACACAAGGCCAGAGCAGAACTGCAAGGAGGGCTGGGCTATGTGCATGCTGAGCTAGCCCAGGCAGACACTAGACAGGAAGGAGGCAGCAAGGCCCACACCCTGGACAAGAAGACGGTAGGTAGAAAGGAAATTCTGGAGGCTGGGAAACCCACAGCCCTGAAGACGTACGGAACATGAGTGAGACAAGGGACTAGCCTGAGTCTGATGGGGAACATGAGGGAGGTAGACAACGTTCTCCTCCAGGAACAAAGGGTCCCAAGAGCAGCAGGGTGGAAATCTGAGCCCCCTTCCCTAGGGCCCACACACTGTCGCCCCCAACACAGCTTTCCCCAACCCCACAGAAGCCTGTATGTAACAGGATGTCAGGGGAGATCCAGTGGCAAGTTACTGAGCATTGAGGCCCTGCCTCCAATGCCCCTGGGCCTAGGGAGAACAAGAAGGGAGATGCCAAGGGCACCCATCCCCTCTGAGCCCTGCACGCTCACATATGTGCACGCTGGGGGCCTGGCACCCCTGACCTGGGCCTAGACTGGGCAGTAGACACATCCTGGGCAGGCTCTGCACTCTCCCCACTGTGGTTTCTCTCAGAAGCATGGGTCCTTCCAGGGAACTCAATGCTGCCCACGTGTCTTCCCACATGGCATCTGTCACTGGGGTGGGGGTTGGGGCAGGGTGGCAAAGACCAGGATAGCCTGCCCAGGAAAATGGAGGGGTCAGGCTGGCCCTGGCTTCCCCAGCCTCAGTTTCCCCGGCCTGGGTCAGTGCACTGGGTCAGTCCCACCCAGCCCCAACATCCAGCAGGCAGCCCCTCTGAGGTCTTCTGAGGGACCTGCCTGGACATTCCTACAGAGGTGCAGGGCTGGAAAAGTTGTCTCTGCTTGGCCACACAGTCCAGGGACAGGCTCCAGATGCCACTCAGCTGCCCTCCCTCCTCCAGAGACTGTTGACTCCACACTGACCCTCTAGTCCTGGCAGGTCTTCCTGAGCTGTCCAACAAGTGTGCACGGAGTCCTGGGGGCTCCCAGGCACAAGGCCTTCTGCACATCAACAACACTGGAGAGCCCAGACCCACCATCGTTTCGCTCACCAGACAGAACTGGAGCATCCATGCCAGGCCAGCCTCCATATAGGTCCAGGGCTGAGGCTGAAGGAGCCTCCAGCAGGGCCACTGAGTCCAGCCTTCCCTATGGCCCCAGCACCCCACGGGACTGTCTCTGCTGTACCACGACAGACATGTGCTTCTGAGGCCCAGGCTCCCGTGGGTTCCAGCCAGTCCCCCTTCTCTTCCTAGCACTAATGTTCTCTACCCCCATCCCTGTGCCTTTGGCAGAGCCTGCCCAACTGGGAGTCCCAGGCCAGAGAACAGTAAATTGAGGGCCTATAAGTGGACGATGGGTGAGGCCCCATGCTAGCTGGGTGTCCTAGGAGCCTGTGGGGGACCAGGGCCTGCCTGACCCTCATAGATCAAACCCCAGCTAACTCACCCACAGCTGCTCCTAGAGGCAGCCTGACACGTGAAAGCACCAAGGGAAGCCTTGTATTCAAGGCTGGAACACACAATGCTGCATGCCCGATATCCTAGTCCAAGAAGTGGCTCCACCCTTTCCTTACAGAGCCCCCTGAGGAGCAGATGTGGCCAGAACAGACCCCTCTGCCTCCACTGGGCGGGGCTCCATGGCTCGTGGTGATGTCCGTTTGTGCTTAGTACACCACCAAGTCTACGCACAGCATCAGGGTGTGAGGGGCCAGGAATGGCAGGGGCAGAGGAGCAAAGAAGGAGGCCTCACCAGGACCCAGTGCAGTCCCAGAAACAAGCTTTTTCTGGACCCCTCTGTCCTCAGTTGACTTCCCAAGAACAAAGAGAAAGGGGAACTTCCAGGGCTGCTGCACCCCCGGGGGGTTCCCGTCCCATTTTTAGCTGAGAGCACTGAGTCAGAGCTCCCTGCCCCAAGGTCCTCTTCTCTGGATGTAAAAATAAGAGCAATGGTTTCTAACAACTGGCTTCTATCTGGGAGCCACCCCCAGGGCAGGAGTCTGCAGAGTACCCAGGGAGCCTGTGAACAGTCACAGCAGGTTGGGACTCGGGCCCTAGGACCCTGCACCTAAGGTATCCTGGCCCTCTGGGAGCCCTGACATAGGGGCTGGAGCGAGTGGCAGTGAGGACCAGACCTCCTGCCGCTGGGGAGGGAATGGACACTCAGGCTTCCCCCTCATGTGGACTGAGCCTCTTGGTCATTGTGGGTCCTTCTGCTGTCCCTTCCCTGTATGGGGACACAGGGCAGCAGGGAGACAGGAGACTGCCTAACACCAATCTGGAGAGGGCAAGGGTCCAAGTTCTCTGACAGGACAGGAAACGAAAGGGCCCAAGGGAAGGCAGTCAAGGATGGCTCCACAGTCCAGCAGGGCCCAGGCTAGGCTGAGGCAGTGGTTGGAGTAGGGGTGGGGGAATCTGTCTGCAATAGGCTGGGACTGGGGCCTGCCTGCCCAGAGTCCTGGCAAGGGGTGTAGCAGCAAGGAGCTGTCCCTGCGCTGAACTGCATGATGGAGGCAGGCCTGAGCTATGGTTTCTGTGGTGGGCTGGTCTGAATGGACTAGGCTGAGCCTGGCTGGGCTGACCCACACTAACTAAGAATGGGTTGGACTGGGTCCAGCTGGGCAGGACTGGTCTGGCTAGGCTTTGTGTGACTACTGGTGTGGACTGAGCTATGTGAAGGGAGATACGCTGTCCTGGGCTCAGGTGGGCCAAACTGGTCAATCTGGGTGGTCATCAGCCATGCCTGACTGAGTTGGGCTGGCCTAAGCTGGGCTGAGATGTGCTGCACTGGACTATCCTGTACTGAACTGTCCTGGGCTGGGCTGGACCAAGCTGAGAGAAGCTAGACTCCGCCTGGCTGAGCTAACCTAAGGTGAGCTAGGTGGCGTGAAATGCGCTATCATCAACTGGGCTGGGCTGGACAAAGCTGGGCAGTTCTAAATCGTGCTTAACTGTGCTGGACTGAGCTGAGGGAGCTACACTTTCCTAGGCTGGGTGGGCTAGTCTGGGCTGGCTGGACAGGGCAAGGAGAAGCTGATGCAGGAAGAGTTGAACTGAGGCCTGGCTGAAATGTTCGGGGTTGTGCTGAGCCAGGCTGACCTAAACTGAGCTGGCCTGAGCCAGGCTGACCTAAACTGGCTGGAAACAATTGAATAGGGCTAGATAGTCTGAAATGTACCATCTTGGTCTACCTGATCTGAGCTGAACTACACTGGGTTATTCTTGGCTGAGTTGGACTGAACTGGGCTGGGCTGGGCTGGGCTGGCCTGTTTGGGTTGGGCTGGGCTGGCCTGGGTTGAGCTGGGCTGGCCTGGGTTGAGCTTGATTTAGTTGGGCTGAGATGGGCTAGCCTGAGCTGGGCTTGCCTGAGCTGGGTCTGAGCTACGCTGGTTTGGGCTAGGCTGAACTGAACTGGGTTGGGCTAGACTGAACTGGGCTGGAGTGGGCTGAGCTGGGCTGGGCTGGGCTAGGCTAGGTTGGGCTGTGTTGGTCTAGTTGGCCTGGTCTGGCCTGGGCTGTCCTAGGCTTGCCTTCACTGGCCTGGGCAGGGCTTACCTTGGCTAGCCTGAGCTGGACTGGTCTTGGCTGGCCTGGGCTGGTTTGACTGGGCTAAGCTGGGCCTTTTACAATAGGCTAGCCTGGGCTTACTGGGCTAGGCTAGGCTTGAATGAAGTTGACTAAATTGAGTGGACAGAGCTATGGTTAGCTGGGCTGAGTGGGGCTGAACTGAGCTAAGGTGGGCTAAGCTGAGAAGAGTTAGGCTGGGGTGGGCTGGGCTGACCTGGGCCAGGCAGGATCAAGCTGGATTGACTTGAGCTAAACTTGATTGAGCTGGGCTCAGCTAGTCTATCTGGGCTGGGCTAGGCTGGACTGTGGGGAGCTGAACTCAGCTAAGTTGGCTTGTCTTCTATGATCTTTACTGTCCTAGGTCAAGGTTATCAGGACTCTGCTCAGCTGGATTTCATGGACAAGCCAGGATGGACTGGGCTGAGCTGAACTGGACTGAGCTAGGCTGAGTTGGACAGGGCTGGGCTGAGCTGCTATGAGCTTAACTGCGTTAAGCTGTGCTGGGCTGAGCTGGGCTGAGCTGGACTGGGTTAGACGATCCATTTCTGGCTCTGCTGGTCTACCTGGTCTGAACTGAACTATACTGGTTTATTCTCAGCTAAGCTGGGATGAACTCAGCTGGACTGGCCTGGTTGGGCTGAGCTAGCCTCAACTAGGCTGGGCTGGGCTAGGCTGAGCTGGGTTGAGTTGGGTTGTTCTGGGCTTGGTTAGCTAGGCTGGGGTATGCTAGTCTGGGTTAGGCTGAGCTGAACTGGGCTGGGCTAGCTGGGCTGAGGTAGGCTGAGCTGGTTTGGGCTAGGCTGAGCTAGGCTGAATTGGGCTCTGCTAGATGGCGCTGAAAAGATATGAGCTGGGCTGGGCTGGGCTGGGCTGGGCTGAGCTGACTGGCCTGGGCTAAGCTGGGATGGTTTGGGCTGGCCCAGGCTGGGCAGGGTGGGGCTGGCCTGGTTTGGCTGGGCTGAGCTGGGCTGAGCTGGCCTGGTCCAGTCTGGACTGATCTGAGCTGGGCTGGACTGGCCTGGGCTGGGCTAGGCTGGACTGAACCAAGCTGGACTGTACTGTGCTGCACTGAGTTCTGCTTGAATGGGCAGAGCATGGTTGTGTTGGGCTGAGCTGGGGTGGGCTAAGATGAACTGGGCTATTTTGAGCTGGTCCGAGTTGGCCTGGGCTGGGCTAGCTGAGCTGAACTGAGCTGAGTCTGTGGGCTGTAATAGGCTAGGCTGGGCTGACTGGATTAGGCTTGGCTTAATAAAGTTGGTTGAATTGAGTCACTATGGTTAGGTGGGCTGATCTTTGCTGAGTTGGACTGAGCTGGCTTGGTTGGGCTGACCTGGGCCAGGCAAGATCAATTTGGGCTGTCTTGAGCTGAGCTTGACTGATCTGGCTCAGCTGGTCTATGTGAGCTAGACTAGGCTGAACTGTGGGGAACAGGACTCAGCTGAGTTAGCTTGTCTTCTCCAGTCTGGACTGTCCAAAAGCAAGATCATCTGGACTCTGCTTAGCTGGACAGAGCCAGGCTGGGCTGGGTGGGGCTGTCCTGTGCTGAGCTGGGCTGGGCTGGGCTAAGCTGGGCTGAACCAAGCTGGATTGAGCTGAGTTGGGCTGGGCTAGCTGGGCTGGGCTGAGGTGGGCTGGGCCTGCTGGCCATAATGGGCAGGACTGAGCTGATTTGGCTAGGCTGAGCTTGAATAAAATTGACTGAATTGCATGGAGAGAGCTACGGTTAGTTGGGCTGATCTGTGTTGAGCTGGACTGAGCTGGGATGGGCTGGACTGGACTGGAACAGGCAGGATCAAGCTGGGCTGACTTGAGCTGAGCTTGACTGAACTGGGCTCAGCTGGTCTGTCTGGGCTGGGTTAGGCTGGACTGTGGGGAGCAGGACTCACCTGAATTAATTCGTCTTCTCCGGTCTTGACTATTATAAGGCAAGGCCATCTGGACTCTGCTCAACTGGACTTTGTGGATAGAGCCAGGCTGGGATGGGCTAGGCTAAGCTGGACTTGGCTGAACTGGACTGAGCTAAGCTGAGTTGGCCTGGGTTGAGCTGGACTGAGTGGGGCTGGGCTAGACTGGGCTGAGCTGGGCTATGCTAGACAGATCTGAGCTGAGTTGGGCTGAGCTGAGAAGGCTGGGCTCCGCTTGGCTGGGCTCAGCTGGACAGAACTGAGCAGGGCAGACAGAGCTGTACTATGATTTTTTTTAAAGCTGCAACCAGCTTCAATACCGAGCTGAGCTGGGAACAGGCTTAGGATGGGCCAGTGGATCTGGGGCTCTAAGGCCAAGGGAGAGGGCCAGGCATGTATGGCAACCAGTGTGCTGTTTGGGGGAGGGACTTATGGTGGACGCTGGTGGGGTCTTTGCCTTCTATCCATGGGTGTCAGGGCCAGGTCTGCCCCTTCCTGAGAGGTCAGTAGTCTCAGATTCCTTGAAGGCCAATACAGGAGGGTAGAGCACCTGGAGTCCTGGATGGTCAAGTGAGGGTGTGATAAAGGAACCAACCAAGGCAGAGTAGTCAGGGGACTGGGAAGCCAAGCCGAAGGGACTCAGAGAACAGAAGACTCAGAGTGGGTGGCAGTGGGACCTAACCACATTGAATCCTACAAGGACATTGGGGTGGGGGCAGACAGGGGACATCCTGGTGATTCTTTAGGGAGATCTCTGGTCTCTGCTCCCTAATGAGGATCTATGAGTAGTCGGCAAAGGGGACAGACTGTTGCTCCCTAGAGGGGTCTCTGGGTCCCCAGATCCCAGTGAGGATCTATAGGTTGGTAGACAGAGGCAACAGCCTGGTGATTCCTAAGGAAGGGGTTTCTGGGTTTCCAGGCCCCAATGTGGGTCTGTGAGTGGGGGTTGGGGGACAGCCTGGTGTTTCCTGGGGGTTCTCTGGGCACCAATGAGATCTATAGATGGGTGGACAGAGAGGACAGCCTGGTAATTCCTGGGGAGGGGTCTCTGGGCCCCAGTGGATTCTATGGGTGGATGGACAGAGAGGACAGCCTGCTGATTCCTAGGAGAGAGATTTATGGGTTCCCAGGCCTTAATGGGAGTCTATAGGTGGGGCCTGGGGGGCAGCCTGGTGAATTCTAGTTGGGGGGTCTCTGGGACTCAGTGGGTGTCAATGGATGAGTGGGCAGAAGAAACAGCCTGGTGATTCCTGAAGGGGTCTCCAGACCCCAGTGAGGGTCTATGGGTGGGTGGGCAGAGAGGACAGCCTAATGATTCCTGGGGGTGGGGGGTTCTGGGCCTCAATGGTGGTCTATGGGTGGGTGGGTAGATTAAACAGCCTGGTGATTCCTGAAAGTGTCTCCAGGCCTCAGTGGGGGTATACAAGCTCTGAGCCTCAGCCTTGGGGAATGGGACAGCCCCTCTGTTCCTCAAGGGGAAGAGCCCCATAGTCCAGTCACTTCGGGCCAAGGGTGGGTACGTCCTGAGAACACCCCTGGTTCCTGAGCATGGCCTGAAGGTAGTGATGAAGAAATTGCTTTTGATGGGATGCAGAGGGGTGTTGCATGGCATCCTGGGCCTGGGACTTGTGGGGGAAGAGGCAGCATCGGACAGTGGGGAAAAGATCTAAAATGATCCCTTAGGCTGGCACAGGGTGCACTTGCCTCAGTCCCTCCACCATGTCACAGCCAACCCCTCCTCCACCCCAAGTCCTCCCCTCACCAAACACACAGGCCCAGAAAGCAGTCATCCTGGTACCTGGGGGTGACAATCCCATCCAGTGCTGACCCTCAGCCCTGTCGCCACAGCCTCCAGCGACCGCCCCTATGTCTTCCCCTTGAACTTCTGCTGCAATGATGAAGTCAAAGCCTCTGTGACCTTGGGCTGCCTGGTGACTGGCTTAATCTCGAAGCCAGTGACCGTGAAATGGTACACTGGTTCCCTGAACAGCAGTTCTGTGACCTTCCCCACCACCCTCCACATGGCCTCCAGCCTCTACACCACCGTGAGCCAGGTGACCGCCTCAGGCGAGTGGGCCCAACAGAAGTTCACCTGCAGCGTGGTACACGAACCGCCCAAAAGCAGCATCAACAGGACCTTCACTGGTGAGCAAGGGCTGGGGTTGCTACAAGTACAGCAAGAGGGACCACAGTTGGAGAAGAGGAAGGACTTCCAGAAAGTGTCAGGCTGAGACTGAGCAGTCTCCCAGGGCTTATCCCCACAGAGGGCAGGAGAAGAGGGCACTTGCCTTGTAGAGGCAGAGAATGAGGGGCTCAAATGTCACTACTGATGTTGCTGGTAGCTGCCCAGTGTGTTCAGGGCCCTGGCTGGGACGTAGGGGCAGTGGGGACTGAGAGAAGGGGACACAAGCTGGGACACAGAGCTCAAGGAGGTTAACAACATCCCCGATTAAAGCTGGCTCGTGGTCTCAGCACCCACTGGCCCTCCACAGTCCAGTCCTTTATTCACACCCAATCCTCTCACCCCAGCATGTTCCAAGAACATAACCTCACCCACCGTGAAGCTGTTCCACACAGCATGCGACCCCCGTGGTGACTCCCAGTCCACCATCCAGCTGTTGTGCCGCATCACCGGCTACACCCCAGGGTCCATAGAGGTCACCTGGCTGGTTAATGGAGAGAAGACTCGGGGCCTCTACTCAACCACGACCCAGCCCAAGCAGGAGGGCAAGCTGGCCTCCATCTACAGTGAAGTCAACATCACCCAGGGCCAGTGGGTGCCTGAAAAGACCTACACCTGCCGTGTCACTGTCCACGGAAGATCCTATGAGTCCAGTGCCCAGAGGTGCCTAGGTACGGCCCTACCCTAACACAAGCGCTAGCAGTCTGAGAGGGGGCAGGGTCTCATACACTCCTTTATGCCGCCCCTCTTGACCTCAGATTCTGAACCTCGAGGAGTGAGCGCTTACCTCATCCCACCCAGCCCCGTCGACCTGTACGTCAACAAGATGCCTAAGCTCACATGCCTGGTGGTGGACCTGGCCAGTGAGGATGGGGTGAAAGTGAACTGGTCGCGGAGCAGGGGGACCTCTGTGCATGCTGACCCACATACTGCCAAGAGGCAACAAAATGCAACAGTCAGTATCATGTCCACCCTGCCAGTGGACACCAAGAACTGGATTGAGGGCGAGACCTATCACTGTGTAGTGTCCCACCCACACCTACCCAGAGAAATTGAGAGGTCTATCACCAAGGCCCCCGGTAAGCCAGGGGCTGGTGGAGGTGGCCTGGGGCTAGGAGGGCTGAATTGGGCAGGGCAGTTAGGACAAGCCCGCTGACCTTGAGTGCCTTCCCACAGGCAAGCGTTTGCCCCCCGAGATCTACTTGTTCCCGCCACCCGAGAAGCAGGGGGACAAGGACAGGCTCACCCTCACCTGTCTAGTCCAGAACTTCTTCCCCCCTGACATCTCGGTACAGTGGCTGTGCAACAAGGTGCCCGTGCCTTCGGACCAGGTCTACACCACTGAGCCCCAACCAACTAGTGGCCGCACCCGCGCCTTCTTCACTTTCAGCCTCCTGGAGATCAGCAAGTCTGACTGGGAGCAGCAGAAGACCTTCACCTGCTATGTGGTCCATGAGGCACTGCCTGAAACAAGAATTCAGGAGAAATCGGTGTCGAAAGGCTCCGGTAATTGATATCCCCCTATCCTACCCTCTCCCGGGCCCTGTCTCCTGGGGCGGGGGATTGGGGAAGTGGAGGACTGGCCAGACCCTCCATATGCTGTGTAATGACCCTGGGAAGCCACCCCAATAAACATCAAGTGCCTGCCTGGAGCCCTGGGCTGTTCTTATGGGGGTGGGCTGACATTGGCCCTAGGACCCCTGATGAAGGGGTCCCCAGGAGAGGGGCAGGAGGAGTTGGGTATGCTCTGTCTGTCCATCTGGGTGTCTGAGAGTGTGTGTCAAACCATGTCTACAGGGGCCGCCCTCCCCACTCCACTCTGGGCCCAGCCTGCTCACAGGAGTCCTAAGGGCCAGGGCAAGTGGTGCTCTAGGGAGCAGCCCAGGGAGACCCTGATCCAGCCACCGTGGCCTCTCTCTCCTGGAGACTCTGGGGTCTTATCCCCAGGTCTAGCCTGCTGCCCACTTCTGCTGGGCACAGACAAGCTCTGCACTCACGGGAGCCTCACCCAGTCTGGATGAACACACACAGCCCCTTCTGGGTGGGAAAACCCAGTGAGTTAGACCCCCTCACAGATGGAGACACACAGGGACCCTCATCCATGACCCCACCTCCATTCACAACTGCAGAGAACATCACACATATACACACATCACACAGACACATGCCAAGCCCATCACACACACACACACCCCCCAAACCTATTATACCCACACACGCCCCAGACCCATCAGACACACACATAACAAACCCACCACACAGCCTCAGCATAGGACAGGCCCTCTGACCTTGCCCTGCCCACAGGCAGGTCACCCAATGGCTTGTCCTACTGCTTGGGTCCCATCCCAGACCCAAATTGGTCCTGAGGGCACACCCAAGCCCACCCCATCTCATGGCTGGGGGTCAACCCATGGTCATACCCATACACTCACTCACACCACACATGTCCCCATACCTACAGAGAGACATGTGCCCTTCCCTCTGCAGCACTGATAGCTGCAACAGTTAGGGCCCAGGCATACTCACAGTGGCCACTCCTGGCCCTCCCCCATGCCACACCTGAATCACCAGCTCCCTGTGGTAGAAACTGCCTCTGAGACAGACATGCAGAGGCCTCGTGCTGGCCAGGAGCCCACTGGCCCCTCATGGGTCTCTCCTGTGACCCCAGCCTCCCCTACCAGACTGCTCTTGTCTGCTGCACCTGACAGAAACATGCTCTCACACACAAACTAGCTTTGTCTGGGCCTTGAGTATGGGAATGGAAATGAAATCAACCCAGAGCAGGCTGCAGTTTCATGCTAGCTCCTGGAGACCAGAGCAGAGGGGCCAAGGCTTCTGCCCACCACCTAACCTGCATGCACCTCCAACACACACACACACACACACACACACACACCAGACCCACCATACACACTCCCAACCATCACACTAAGAGAAGACTCATTATGAACATACATACATCACATAAACACACACACGCCAAACCCATCACACACACACACCAAGCCCATCACACACACGCATACCCCAGACTCACCACACATGCACAGCCCCAGACCCAACACAAACATGTACACCAAGCCCGTTACATATGCACACACACGCACATTCCAGAACCACTATGCAAACACATATACACACACACACTCCAGACACACTACTCAAACACACACACACCAAGTCTATCACACATACATATGCCAAATCAATCATACACACACATACACATATTAGACCCACCACACAGACATAGCCAAAATCTATCACACACACCCAAAACCCATTGCACACACACCCCAAACCCATCACACTCACATATACCCCATCACACGGAAACACCAAGCCCACCTCTCTCTCTCACACACACATGGACCTCATAACACACACAGTCATAGAACCATCTCACACACACACACACACTCCAGACCCATTACACAAACACACACACAAGTCTATCACATATACATACCCCAAACCCATTACACATATACACATCCTAGACCCATCATATCCAAACACCCACAGCAAAGCCATCACACATACACATATCACACAAACACACCCACATGCCAAGCCCATCACACACACAAATACACATACACCTCATCATACACACACAGCCCCAAACCTATCACACACCCACACCCCAAGTTAATCACACACACACACTCCAGACCCACTACACAAACACACACACCAAGTCTATCGTATATGTCAAACCCATCATACACACACACATACTAGACCCACCACACACTCACACTCAAAATCTATCACATGCACCCCAAACCCATTACACAGACACACATCCCAGACCCATCATACCCACACACCCATAGCAAACCCATCACACATATACTCACATCACATATACACACACCAAGCCCATTACACACACCCCGAACACATCATATCCATACGTACCCCACACCCATCACACACACACAGCAAACTTACCACACAGCAGACCCAAACACACCCATCACATGTGCACACACACATACGTACACACACACTCCCAAGCACACACCAAACACACACAGGAAACAAGCTTCTTGTACCCCACATACACACTGCTCACACTGAAGACACTACGAACACGTGCAGACCCAGGCCCTTGGACCGAAACTCTGCCTCGCTCTCCCCATGGGAGCTTGGACACTCCTGGGCCCCATGTACACACTCACTCCTCAGAGCTGAGAACCCGGGACCCCTCACCCTCCATACTCCCTCCACCCCACCCTGTGCCAGGAGAGGCAGAGATACCTCCACCCTGTGTGAGGAGAGACAGAGACGACATCGCCAAGTGCCAGGACAGGCAGAGACCCCCAACCCTGTGCCAGGAGAGGCAGAGACACCCTTACAATGTGCCAGGAGAGAAAGAGGAGAAGATTTGGCTTGGCCTGGGCAGAGAGCCCACTGGTCGCCACCTCAGTCCTGGCCTGTGGAGATGAGAGATGGTTGTGAGGACAGAGGCGGGCTGGAGAAGGGAACCAGCGGCGGGGGTGGGGGGACATGCTGTGGGTCCAGGACATTAGGAGGAGCAGCCAAAGCAGAATGCCCAGGCCCTAGAAGGGGCCATGGGAGTAAGGGACAGCAGGGCCAGTATGGCCCGTGGCCCAGACAGCAGCTCTTGGCTTGCCCAGGCCTGGCTTTAGTGTCCACTTGCCTACCTAGCCTTAGTCCCACTCAGCAGGTGCCTCCAATCCCCTGAGGGAGAGATCCAGCCCCACAGAGATCCTGATTCAGTGATTCGTGGGGCCGGAGCCGGCCTCATGTCCTGTGAGCAGCTGCAGGGTTCAAAACCCACTCCTGAGGCCAGGCAGCTTCATGGGGACCTGGGGCTGGCGGGAGAAGAGCTAAGGCAGCACAGGATGGGGGTGGGAAGTACAGGTAGGAGAAATGCTGACCCGGGGACCCTCCATGGGATATGCATGGGTGGAGGGACAAATGACCCTGGGATCCTCCTGCCATGGGCTGTGCAGGGCCTTCTCAAGGAGGGGAGGGATTTGAGAGGGGCAGAGCTAGGTCTGAGTGGAGGTTACTAGCAGTGGGAAAGGAGAGAAGATGCCTGGCCACCTAGGGGGAGGACAGAGGAAGGAGAGGTCAGAAAAGGCCCCTGGCTTGGCCCACCCCGTGTCCCAGGGAGTTGTGGGCTGCTGGTTTCAGGAGAGGGAAGAGGATGTGAGCTGCTCCCACAGGGACATGACCAACTGGGGAGCTTCGGTCACAGTAGGCTGTGACTGTGGGAGTCCCAAAGGAGGCCAGAGAGGGAACTCCCACCACTCCGGCCGCTAGTGAGGGACTCTGACTCCCCCCCTCCCGGAACATTGGGCCCCGCTTCTCTTCACCTCCTGAGGGTGGACCAGGTCTTCCATCCCCTGCTGCTGTGCAGAGGCTTGGGCTAACTGGCTCGTACCTCCAGAGCTGGAAGTTCAGGACCTGTGTATGGAGGAGGACGAGAGCAAGGAGCTGGATGAGCTGTGGACCAGCACCTTTGTCTTCATCACTCTCTTTCTGCTCAGCGTGAGCTACAGTGCCATGGTCACCCTCTTCAAGGTTGGGGCATGGGTGGCTGGGCTGGCAAAGAGTGAAGGAGGGGAACCAGTCTGATGGGCCAGCCTCACTTCTGCCTCCTCACAGGTACAGTGGATCTTCTCAGCCCTGTTGCAGGGGAAGCTCCAGGACTCCCATGAATACAGCAACATTATGTAGCCAGTGGCTTGGACTGGGAGAATGAGCTGGTGCTGGCCAACTGGAGCGCCGACCAAGGCCAGTGGCATTCCATGGGAACGCCACTCTGTCCCCTATATCCAAGCCATACAGGTCAACCGACCAAAGGCTGCCCAGTCTTCACAAAGTGGGACAAGGATAGAGACAGAGCAAGTGAACCCCCAAAGGGACCCCCATGGACTTATGACCAGCCCCAGGGCTCAGGGCATCCAATAATTCCCTCCACTGATACCCTCCAATGATACCCCCGCTTTTAGACAGGCTCCGGAATAGTGCTTGTCCCTTCTACAGAGTGACATGAGCTGGGGAGGCAGGGTGTTGACCACCTTGGGTCCCACCCAGTCACTCCTGTTCTGATTGATAAACCACCTGAACACATGAGGGCCCAGAACCCAGCCCATCATCCAGAGCCCACAGCCCAACCCAGGTCATACAGTCCAGAACCCAGGGTCTGGAGCCCAACCTAGAACCCTAAAGCAAACCAAGGACCCAGAGCCCACAGACCTACCCAGAGCCCACAGCCCACAGCCCACAGCCCAATGCAGGACCAAGAGCCCAGAGTCCAGAGCCCAACCCAAGACCCACAGCCCAAACAAGAATCTATGGCCCTTTCCAGGACCCAGAATCCAGAGTCTCTCCCAGCCTTGGTAATTCTGTTTCCTTCCACTTGGGTTTCTCAGTAAAGTTCCCTTCCATAACCCTCCCTCCCCTCCCCACCTAAGTGTGCTTTGGGGAGAGTGTTTGCATTCCTGGTCAAATAAAAACTGAGGAATACGCTTTATTGTCACCTCATGACAAGGATTACCTTACACACAAAGAGCCCTAAGGACAGTGGGTTTCACAGAAGGAGATCAAGTGGTCAGTAGCAGGAAGAAACTGTTCCAATAATTAGAAAAGTGACAGTAAGGAGGAGATGAGGGAGCCTTCTCGGCCCATCTGAGGCTTGTGAGCTTCCAAGGCCATTTCTCAAGGAAAGTGGCCACATCCCTAGTTCACAAGTGCCCAGACCCTTAGCAGATCCCATGGGTGAAAGTGGCCCTGAGGGACAGCCTCCCATGGCATAGAGGCAGGTGCAGGCCCTGCCTGAGGATGTGAGGACAGTGCATGTCCAGCCTTCCAAGGATCTATCCAGCAACCTCCCAGCCTCCTGGCTAGGGGACTCTCAATCCACCCTCCTCACATTGCACCAAAATGTTTGCACTAGACCACCACCGCTACTGCTGGGAGAGCCTGGACCTCACCCAAGCCCCTCATCCTGGAAAGGACTGACCTCTCCTCTGGAAACAGGATTCCCTGTTGCACCTGCCTGATCACTGCCTCTCCCTCCCAATGGTGCCATTCCTGGGGCATAACTATCCAGGTCCTGTGTGTGGCTTGAGAGCTCAGCTGTGAATGGGTGAATGGATTGATGGATGAATGGATGGATGGAGGATGGATGGATGGATGGATGGATGGATGATGGATGGATGTGTGGATAGATGGATGGATCGATGGAGGGATGGTGGATGGATGGATGGATAGATTTACGGATGGATGGATAGCTTTATGGATGGATGATCAATGGATAGATGAAAAGATAAATGAACTGATGGATGAGTGGATAGATGGATGTATAGATGGATAGAAGGAAGGAAGGAAGAGAAGAAGGAAGGGAGATAGGCAAGAAGAAAGGAAGATGTATGGATAGATGAACGTTTGTATGAACAAGGTCTAACTGCCCCCTTGTGTGCCCAAACAAGGTGGCCTCCAGAGTCAGAGATCCGGGATGGGGCAGGTGGGTGGGCTGGAGCACACAATCAGACAGGCCATGACATAGGCAGCCTCTGAGGGGGCCACTGGGTGAGAACAACAAAGCAGGAAAGCCTTGAGCAGAAAATTGTGGAGGAGGGCAGGCTAGATATGGAAAGAGGCTGTGTCTTGGTACCTGACCCCACCTACTGGTGTTCCAGGCCTCTGAGACAGATTGCAGCCCCCATGTGGCCTGGGATATAGACTACTCGTGGGGCTGGTGGAGGAAAAACAACCACACCATGGCCATGGCTGAAGTGGCTCCAACCCCATGACCCCAGGGCTCGGTCTCCCCATACTGAAGTTCTCACTGAAGGTCTTCCCTGAGGCCTCCACGCTGGAGGCCCTGTCCCTCTGTGTCCCCCACCCCTGCCAACCCTCCTGTGGTCCTGTCCAGCCCTGGTTCCACTTTCTCGATCTCCATCTTTGGGCCTATCTCTGTCTGGGTTTCCCTGAGCCTCTAATCCTCTGTCTTTTCATCTCTTCTTCCTGGCGTCTACCCCCAGCCCCATCATGTGGACAGCGACCTGGGCCATGGTTCCATCATACCCCTGCTCCCTAACTCACAGAGTCTCAGGCCAGACCAGGCTCCTGTGGGGTCACACAGCCCCAGCCTCACACACCTGGCCTTGCCACAGCCAGACCACAGACCAGACATGACGTAAAGGTGCTGCCACGTCTGCTGGAGCAGGAAGTGGGAGACTGACCCCACTGAGCCAGATACACAGCCACGCAGCCACACAGCCCCTCCCGAACCTGCCCTTCTCATCAGGCAGTGTCCTAAAGTTGCTCCATCCAGCCTTGCCCAATCAGTGGAGAAACAGCCCATCATAGGAGAGGAAGAGATTGGCTGAGGCCATATGGCCATCAGAACAGGGCCTGAACAAGGCCTACGCCTGCTACCCCATTCCAGCCAACTCTGGGGCAGGCAAACTGTGGGCTGTGACGATGAACCTGCAATGTGGGGGCTGCTTAGCCAGAGGGATACCAGGGTCCCTCTCAGCAGAGAGTGAACCTCCAGCAACCTTGAGCAGGTGGGTCCTGGGTCTCCATCTCTATTTCTGAACAACGAGGAGCCTGTGCAGCCTCAGTCAGGCCAGTCCTGAGCCTTCCTGAGGCAGGAGGATGGAGAACACCCAGACTAGATACCCATGCCAATGGGAAAGGGGGAGGGAGATGGCACAGAGACCCAGGAGGACCACAGGGCAGGAGAGTCAGAGCTGAGCTAAGAGGGGCTGGACTGAGTAGTGATAAACTGGAAAAGACTTGGCTGAGATGGGTTGAGCTGGACTGGGCTTGGCTAGACTGGGATGAGCTAGGCTAAGCGGGGCTGGGCTGGGCTGGGTTGCTCTCGGCTGAGTTGAGCTGGGCTGAGCTGGGCTAGGTGGGGCTGTGCTGGGATGAGCTAGGCTGACTAGGCCTGGGCTGAGCTGAGCTGGACTAGGCTGGGCTAGAACGGGATGGGATTGGATGGGGTGGGAGGGGATGAGGTGAGCTGGGCTAGGTTGAGCTGGGCTGAGCTGGGCTGAGCTCAGCTGAGCTGGGCTGAGCTGGGCTAGGCTGGGCTAAGCTGGGCTAGGCTGGGCTAGACTGAGCTGAACTGGGCTGAGCTGGGCTAGGTTCAGCTGGTCTTGGCTGGACTGAGCTAGGCTAGCTGGGCTGAGCTGAGCTGAGCTGGGCTAACCTTGGATAGCTGGGCTTGGCTAGGTTCTGCTGGGCTGAGCTGGTCTAGGCTGATCTGGACTGAGCTGAAGTGGGCTGAGCTGGGCTAGGTTGAGCTGGTCTAGGCTAGACTGAACTGGGCTAGCTGGGCTAAACTGAGATGAGCTGGTCTAGCTTGGCTGGTTGGGATGGGCTAGGTTTGCTGGGCTGAGCTGGGCTCGCTGGGCTGGGCTAGCTGGGTGGGGATGAACTGGGCTAGCTGGGCTGAGCTGAGCTGAACTGAGCTGGGCTAGGATGGGCTGAGCTGGGCTAGGTTGCGTTGGCTGAGCTGGGCAGGGTGGAGCTGGGCTGAGCTCTGCTAGTTAGCTGAGTAGGCTGACTAGGGCTAGGTTGGGCTGGGCTGGGCTGAGCTGAGCTGGCCTAGGCTGGACTGAGCTGGGCTAGCTGAGCTGAGCTGGGCTGAGAGCTTGGCTAGCTGGGCTGGGCTAGGTTCTGCTGGGCTGAGCTGGGCTAGGCTGAGCTGGGCTAACTGAGCTGAGCTGAGCTTAGCTGGACTGGGCTGAGCTGGGTTGGGCTAAACGGGCTAGCTGGGCTGAGCTGGGCAGGGTGGGGCTGGGCTAAACTGGGCGGGACCAGGCTGAGCTGGGTTGAGTTGAGCTGGGCAGGGTCGAGCTGGGCTGAGCTGGGCAGAGTAGAGCTAGGCTGAGCTGGGCTGGTCCAAGCTGTACTAAATTAGCTGAGCTAGGCTAACCAGGGCTAGGCTGGGCTGAGCTGGGCTGGGCTGGGCTCGACTGGGGTCAGCTGAGCTGGGCTAGGCTGGGCTGGGCTGAGCTGGGCTATGCTGGACTATGCTGAGCTAAGCTGGGCTGGGCTGAGCTGGGTTGGGTTCAGCTGGACTGGGCTGGTCTGGGCTGGACTGAGGTAGGCTAGCTGAGCTGAGCTGAGCTGGGCTGAGCTGGGCTAACTGGGCTGGACTAGGTTCTGCTGGGCTAGACTGAGCTGGGCTAGCTGGGCTGAGATGAGGTGAGCTGAGCTGGAGTAGGCTGGGCTGGGCTGAGATGGACTAGCTGGGCTGATCTGGGCTGGGCTGAGATGGACTAGCTGAGCTGGGCTGAGCTCAGCTCAACTAGGCTGGGCTGAGCTGAGCTGGGCTAGGCTGAGCTGAGCTGGGCTAGGCTGAGCTGGGCTGACTGGAATGAGCTGGGTTGAGCTGGGCTGAGCTGGGCTGAGCTGGGCTAAATTGAGATGAGTTGGACTGACCAGGTCACGCTGGGCTGGGCTAGGCTGAGTGCTGTTGGGCTAGGCTGAGCTGGGCTGAGCTAGGCTGGGTTAGCTGGGCTGAGGTGGGCTTAGCAGTACTGACAGGGCTGGGCTCGACTGGGCTGACTGGGATGAGCTGGGTTAAGGTGGGCTGGGATGAACTGGGCTTGGATGAGCTAGGCTGACCAGAGCTGGACTGAGCTAGGCTGAATGGGCTGAGCTGAGCTCTGCTAGCTGGGCTGAGCTGAGCTGGGCTAGCTGAGCTGAGCTTGGCTAAGTTGAGCTGAGCTTTGCTGGACTGTTCCGAGCCAGCTGAGCTAGGCTCAGCTGAGCTGGACTTTGCAGGACTGGGCTGATTGGGTTAAGCTGGGTTGGGCTCACTGGGCTGAACTGGACTGGGGACTCAAGTTAGTGTGAGACAATGTTGGAGGGTGGCATCTGGGACCCAGCGTTCTGTGCTCTGCTCTGTCTCTGTCTGTGGCAACCCTGAGAGCCATGCAATTTCAGGTGCATGTGTGACACCCTCACTCTTCTTTTCTCTTGGCTCTGAGGGAAGTCTGGTATTGGCCGACTATCTTAGGTCATGGGCTGAATGCTGCTTATTTGAGGGTGACAGGTAGGGCAGTGTGTTGGGAAGGTCGGCCTAGCAGCCTGCCAGGCAAAATGGGAAGTGGAAACAGACATAGAGGCTCCCTCTACTCCCCAGTGCACACTGCCCCCCATGCTGGCTAAGCTTCAGGCACAGGCCTCTCTGCCCTGGACTGTGCCCTTACCTTCAGGATCTGTCCCTTATGATCCTCCTCAGTCCCAGGTGCCATGGAGTATCCACTCCATGGTGGGAGCTGAGGCTCAGGGCACCCGGCAACTCAGCCAGTAAGTGGCAGAGCTGTGTTTATCAACTAGGACTAACAGCTTGAGAGCAGCCTGTACCAGAGGCACGTTCATGAATCATGTCCAGGCCATTTCCGAGGGCTCTGTCCATAGATCATATCTGGGCTCCATCCAAAGGCTCTTTCCAAGGATCATGTCCTATATGAGGGCTCTGTCTGAGAACTGGGTTAATAAACAGTGCAGCTGGAACTCGAGAGTCAGGTTCAAATCCCAGGCCTGTGGTGTACGAGCTGTGTGACCTTGGGGCAGCCACTCAGCCTCTCTGTGCAGCCCTTGGGGATGTCTTGGGAAGCACAGGAGCAGAAATAGTAGGCTGGCCAGTGGCATGTGCTGTATGAACAAGCATCCATAGTCCATTCTGTGCACAAACTCAAGCGCCAGGCCCCATGACCTTGTCTGTCCCCTCTGACAGCCTGTCTTCTTTGCTCCAGAGCCTGAGACCAGCCCTAGAGTCTTCCCGCTGAGTCTCCAGCGTGCTGCCTCCTGTGAGAATGTGGTCGTTGCCTGCCTAGTCCAGGGTTTCTTCCCACCGGAGCCCTTGAAGGTGACCTGGAACCACAGCGGAGAGAACGTGACCGTCACGAACTACCCCCCGATCCAGGACACTGCCGGGGTCCTGTATACCATGAGCAGCCAGCTCACCCTACCTGCTGACCAGTGCCCAGACAACAAATGCCTCACGTGCCATGTGCAGCATAACTCAAGCTCACAGGAGGCCAAGGTGCCCTGCAAAGGTCAGAGGGCAAGGCTGGACAGGGCCTGGAGACCTAGGAGCCACCCTTCCCATGCTTGGGAGGAGAGGCAGTGGACGGGAGAGTAAAGAAGGCAGGAGGAGCCTGGGGACTGGAGTCAGAAAGAAAGAACAGGGAGGGACAGTGGGAAGGGAAGACTGGCCCACTCTGGCCTCTCTCAGTTCCAGGCTGCCCCTCTGTATGCCACCCAAGCCTGACACTGCACCGGCCAGCCCTAGAAGACCTGCTCCTGGGCTCGGAAGCCAACCTCACATGCACACTGAGTGGCCTGAAGGACCCTGAGGGTGCCACCTTCACCTGGCAGACCTCAGGTGGGACAGATGCCGTACAGAAGGCACCTGAGCGAGACTCCTGTGGCTGCTATAGCGTGTCCAGCATCCTTCCTGGCTGCAGGGAGCCCTGGAAGAGTGGGAAGAACTTCTCCTGCACTGCCACCCACCCCGAGGCTGGGACCCAATCTGCCACCATTTCCAAAAACTCAGGTGGGCTGGAGCCCTGGTTGGCAGAGCACATTCCCAAGCCTTCCCCCACCCCAGCTCCTCTGGCTTGGGGCTCCCTCCCCAGTTTACAGAGTGGAAACTGAGGCCTGAGACGGTCAGGCTGCAGCCTGAGTGCCCACCCCACCCAGCCCCGTACCTGTTCTCTCGCCTACAGGGAACAGCTTCCCACCCCAGGTCCACCTGCTGCCACCACCGGCGGAGGAGCTGGCGCTGAACGAACTGGTGACACTGACATGCGTGGTGCGTGGATTCAGCCCCCAAGACGTGCTGGTGCGCTGGCGGCACGGGGCCCAGCAGCTGCCCCAAAACAACTACCTGACCTGGCCCCCACGGCAGGAGCCAGGCCAGGAAGCTGTCACCTTTGCCGTGACCAGTGTGCTGCGCGTGGAGGCCCAGACCTGGAAGCAGGGTGATAATTTCTCCTGCCTGGTGGGCCATGAGGCCCTGCCCCTGGACTTCACCGAGAAGACCATCGACCGCTTGGCCGGTAAACCCACCCACGTCAATGTGTCTGTGGTTATGGCCGAGGCGGATGGAGTCTGTTACTGAGCCCCACCCTCACCCCTCGAATAAACTCCGTGCTCCACCAGAAGCAGCCCTGCTTTTCCATCCAGCTGCTTGTCTGTCCATCCTGGTTGTTGGCAGCATGCCTGGGAAGGGCAAGGGCAGGGAAGAAAGGGCAGCCCTCTGTCCTGACCCTGTCAGGCTTCAGTTTCCCTGCTCAGCCGCACCTTGGCATGCCTTCCCACCCGTGAATGTATGAGAATCAGTGTTTGCACATGTGTGTGCATGTGTGCATGCATGTGAGTGCGTGCATGTGTGGACATGTGTGTGTATCTGTGGATGGCCAGTGAAGCTAAGCTAAGAGTGAGATCAGAGGCCTGGAGATGACCTGCAGGTCAGTGGGTGCCATGGGAAGGTTTTGAATGGAAAGGTAATGTGTTCATTTGTATCTTAGAAAGCTCTCTCTGGCTGCATCAGGTTGGGGGAGGGGGGTTGTTATTAGAGAAGGTAAGATGAGAACAGGGCACCCAGGAAATAGGGAGTGTCAGGGAAGGGTGGCCAAGAGACTGAGGCTAGATTCCAGCGGCACTCCTGGGAAGAAGGGCACACCCAGGCCCCACAGCTGCCTCAGTGAGTGCAGGCTCAGGCCGTGAAACACCTGGGCGCTAAGTCTGCTCACTGACTTGTGCAGAATGGGACCAACCCCAGTTCCAACACAGCCTTCTCCACCTCCCTAATCACATCACTCTGTGGATAGACACACATACACACATGCACCTACATATGCACACATGCACCTACATATGTCCTTGCATACCCACACACACATGGCTACATGCACACATACACATGCACACACAATGCACCTACATACGTGCACATGTGCCACATGCACACACATGCATACACACACGGCTACATGCACACACACACATACATATATGCACATGTATGCATGCCCACACAGCCATCAGAGCCCCTGCAGGTTCAGGAAGTTCAAAGCACAGACCTCAGCTCCAGAAAGGCAAGGGGAGTCCCTTCCAAAGCCTCCTAGCTGGGTTTTCCCCTAGTCTTGCCCCAGAACCTGGGGTTTGAGGCCCAGCCCCACTGCCCAGAACCCCTCCTGGGCCCTCTCCTGTCCCGCCCTGTGTGCTCAGCTCCACACAACTCAAAGCCCTATTCCACAGCTCCTCCCAGGAAGCCGCTGCACCAGCCTGGGCCCCCAGACTTAAATGTTCCATCCCTTCCTGAGCTAAAGTAAGGTCTATACAATAGACAGGGTAGGGGCAGGGCTGGGGAAGGGGGTTAGAATCAGGCCAGAGAGCTTCCAGCCAAGAACTTCAGAAGGCCTGCAGCTTCTGCCTGGGGTTCCCCATAGAAGGGGGACACCTGGAGAGACAGAGCACAGAGAGGGCAACCCAAGACTGCGATGGGGACACCTGGCACCACCACTCCCACAAGGGGGCAGTGGGGCTCCTGCTCTTGTTTCAGAACCTTCCTGGCCTCTCCAGGGGGACCCAGCCATGTGGCTGCCTTCCTCTGCTCCCAGGGCCATGGTAGGGTGGGGTCCGCTACCCACCCTTGCCACTGCTCCCTGTCAAGGGTATAGTAGTCCAAACAGTGATAGGGAGAGTGGCAGGTAAGGTGGGGAAGTGCTATCCTAAAGGTGCTCCAGCCATCCCTAGAGACTCAGCATGGGACCTGGCCTAACGGAAGGGCTTTCCAAAGGGGAGGGAGGAAGAATCAACAATAAAGCGCTGGTCAGCAGGTGGGCAGCAAGCAAATAAGAGAATGCATCATAGGATGTACAATGAATATACGGGTGGGTAGACAAATGGGTGGACGGAAGGATAGATGGATGGATGGATGGATGGATGGATGGATGGATGGGTGGATGGTTAGATGGATGGATGAGTGGATGGATGGGTGAGTTGATAGATGAATGGGTGGTGGGTGAATGAATGAATGGATTTATGGATGGAAGATGGATGGATGGATGGCTTTATAGGTGTATGAATGGATGGACAGATGGGTAGGTAGGTGGATGGATAGATAGTTGCATGGGTGGAGGGATGGAGGATGGATGGATGGATGAATGGATGGATGGATGGATGGATGGGTGGGTGGGCAGATAACTTTATGGATAGATGGGTAGATGGATTTACAGATGGATCAGTGAGTGAATGGGTAGTGGATGGATGGAGAGATGGATGGGTGAGTGAGTGAATAGATGGATGGATAGATGGGTGGTGGGCAGATGGATAAATAATTGGATATATCAGCATACGACAAACAAGCCCAAGCCCCTTTTGACATGGGTGATCCATGCCCTGGGACCCTGAAGACAGCCAGGGCTGTCTGTGCTAGTGGCCTTCACCTGGTCTTCCCTAGTACTCCCTGTGGTCCCTCAGCCACATACCCTGGGAGGGCAAGAAGGGCCCCTGGGCATGCCCCAACCAGCCCTTGGCCCAATGAACTGCAGACTCAGGTCTGTGTCTCAACCTGGAGCTCCTTGAGAGCTGGCTGTGTCTAGGTCCTCCATGGCCCTCTGAGCCCAAGGCAAGCCTGGAGAGGGTCCTGGGTAAGCGCCTGCTGAGTATCTGGGGCTGAGACCCAGAGGCCTTGGGTGGAACATCAAAGATAGTGCCCCCCTTCCCACCCTGTGCAGATCTCTCTTACCAAGGCACCCTGAGACCCCCAAGACACAGGGTTCCTACAGGCATCTCAGGGTCTTCAGAGCCCAAGCCCCTTTCCTGTGGACCTCCTGCTTCCTTGTCCTCCCTGAGGCAAGTCTCAGACCTGAGACAGGGGGCCCCTGCCAGTGACTCGGGCCCCAAGAAGCCTGGGAGGGGAGTGTCTGGGCCCCTGACCACTTGAGTCTGGGCCTGGCAGGCCTTCCTGTCTTGCAGATTGGCAAAAGCCTTGCCCATGGCTGGTGCTGGACCTGCCACAGGACAGCCTGGAGGAGGAGGCACAAGGGGCTAGCCTGTGGCCAACCACTGTCACTCTGCTCACACTCTTCCTGCTCAGCCTCGTCTACAGCACAGCACTGACAGTGACCAGCATCTGGGGCCCCCAGGGCAGCAAGGAAGTTCCTCAGTACTGACCAGCTGCAGGCCCAGGTGTGTCTTGGGCCCAGGAAGGCAGGGAGGAGGCCTCGGGGGCAGAGCTGCACAGCTCAGGGGGGTGCTGGAGCTGCCTACTGTAGCTGGCCTTGCTCTGCCCAGAGGTGGTCCCATAACAGACACTGAGGACACAGGTAGGTGCTGAAGTCAACATTTATGTCACCCAGCCAGGGACGGGGCATGCACTTCTCAGTGCAGGAACACCAGGACTCCTGCAGTCTCCTGGGAGCCCTACATGAAGGGGGATGGCCATTGGCAGGACCCTGCCCACACTCAGGACCACCCCTGCCTAGACACTAGCTACTGCCTCTGTGTCCACAGGTGGAAGCACCATGGAGCCCTGGAGAAGTCTGCTCTGGATGCCAAAAATCAGCCCTGCTCTGAAGTCCCCACTACTCCTGCACAAGCTTGCCCCATGCAATAAACAGATCCAAAAGCCAAACTTTCTCAGAGACCTGTATGAGAGGAGAAGGGAGGGGCTGCAATTCAGTCTTGGTGATGCATGTCTGTGGGGACTCACATGGAAAATACAGACAGGAGTGCCTAGTACCTTTAGAGGACCTGATGAGGCCAAGGGCATAAACCATCTGGAACCAAGGCCAGGTGTGGCACTGCCCACAGAAGAGTATCCAGAAAAATAGCCCCATGACCTGAGGCCCCTGTCCTGATCACTGGTTCCTGTCCTGATCACTAGTCCCTGACCTGATCACTCGACCTAGTTCTGATCACTAGACCGCTGTAGTGATCACTAGGTCCATGTCCTGATCACTGGGCATCTGTCCTGATCACTGGGCTCCTGTCCTCATCACTGGAATCATGTCCTTATCATTGTGTGTCTGTCCTGATCACTCACCACTGGGTCCCTGCAATGATCCCTGGGCCTTTGTCCTGATTACTGAGCCACTGTCCTGATTGCTCACCCTTGTCCTAATCACAAAGCCCATTTCCTGATCACTGAGCTCCTATTGTAATAACTCAGCCAATGTCCTGAATATTGGGCAACTGCCCTGATAACTGAGTTCTTGTCATGATCACTCAGCTCCTGGCCTCATCATCAGGCCCTTCTCCTGATAACTCATCCTTGTCCTTATCACTTGATCCCTGTCCAAATCACTCAGCCCTGCTCTGATCTCTGGGCCCTGTCTTGATCACTCAGCCCATCTCGATCACTTGACCCTGTCCTGATCACTCAGCCTTTGTCATCCTCACTCAGCCCCTGTTGTCATCACTCAGTCCCTATCTTGATCATTCAGTTCTGTCCTGATTGCTCAGCCCCTGTCCTGATCACTCAGTCCCTGTCCTGATCACTCAACCACTGCCCTGATGACTTAATCCCTGTCCAGATCCCTTGGCCCCTGTCATCATCACTCAGCCCCTGTCCTGATCACCCAGTCCCTGTCCTGATCACTCAGCCCCTGTCTTGATCACTCAACCACTGCCCTGATCACTCAGTCCCTGTCCTGACCACTTGGCCCCTGTCATCATCTCTCAGTCCTGTCCTGACCACTCAGCCCCTGTAATGATCACCCAGCCCCTGTCATCATCTCAGGGCAGATGTGGCACAGAGCAGAACAGCCCCAGAACTCAGGCTGGTTTGGGCTATGCCTGGCTCCCTCAGGCCATGAAGGTCACAAGGGTTAGTGGAAGTAGTGGAGGGTATAGGGAGTTGGAAACCGTAAGAGGGAGGGGGTAATCAAGAATGTTTGTGTTCTCTTGTTTTTCTTTCTTCTCAAGGCTTCTGCATCCCCATCACCTGCTGGAACACCCAAAATAGCCCCCTATGCCTCTGAGTCATTGTGAGCCCAGCCCAGGTGTCCTGACCAGAGTGCCTATGTTTCTGAGAATCATGCCCTGAAACTGAGACTTAGCCAGGTGACCTCTCCCTGGCTAGGAAAGGTGCCAGGACTAGGGCTGGGGGGCTTTCCAGGGTAGTGAGCTTCCCCAGAGCCTGCTGAAGGACTCAGCCCCCACTCCACAATGACCTTCATCAGTCCAGGGTTACCCAGGGTCAACCAATGTCAGCCCAGGGTCAACTAAGATCAGCCAGTGTCTATCTAAGGTCAGTCAAGGTCAGCCCAGGGTCAGCCAGAGTCAGCCACATGTAGCCATGGTCAGCCCAGGATCTGCAGAGGGTAATTCTGGTGTCCACCTGAGTAAGACTTCAACCAGAGGCAGAATGTTCAGTTTCCAGCCCCCACAACACAGTGCCCATGACACAGCAGGCCAGTGGGGCACTGCATTGCAGACCCCAGCCCAGGCCCTGGCCCTGCTCTGTCAGGTTCCGCCCCACACGCTCCTCCCTCCTGCTTCTTTCTGCCCAGGCCCCTAGAATGAGGCAGAATGTGGGGCACAACCCAGGGATTCCACTAGCCACCAGCCTCCCACTGTGTCCAAAACAAACATGCCCAGGACTCTCAGCCACTCAGAACTGGCTCAGGGCAGGACCTGCACCCCACACGCAGACCCTAAGGGTCCAAGGCGGGATCACTGAGCAGGGTCAGACAGAGAGATGGGATGGGGTCAGAGAGAGACATTGAGAGAAACAGTGACAGCAGGAGAGACAGAGATAGGGGAGAGACAAAGAAACAGTAAGAGAAAAGGGGACAGTGAGAGAGAGACAGAGATGAGAGAGAGACACAGAAAGAGATGAGACAGGGTCAGAGACTGACAGAGACACTGATAGAAACAAGGACAGCAAGAGAAAAAGAGAAGGAGATGGGGAGAGACAGCAACAGTGACAGAAACGGGGACAGCAGGAGAGACAGAATCAAAGGTTGTGAGAAAAACAGGGACAGCAAGAGAGACAGAATCAAAGACAGTGAGAGAAATGGGGACAGTGAGAGAAACTGAGACATTCAGAGACATAGGGACAGTAAGAGAGACAGGGACAGAGATGAGGGAGAGACACTGAGAGAAACGGACAGCAGGAGAGGCAGAGATTGGAGAGAGGTAGAGACACTGAGAGAAACAGGGACAGCTGGAGAGAGAGACAGAGATGGGGGACAGAGGGGGACACTGAGAGAAATAGGGACAGCTGGAGAGATAGAGGCAGAGATGGGGGAGAGACAGAGACACAGAGAAATGGGACCGTGGGAGAGAGAGACAAGATCAGAGATACAGACACTGAAGGACATGGGGATAGCAGGAGAGACAGATGGGGGAGAGACTGACACATTGAGAGAAACATGGATAGCAGGAGAGACAGAGACAAAGATGAGGGAAGACATTGAGACAAACAGGGATAGTAGGAGAGGCAGAGACGAGGAGATACAGAGACACTGAGAGAAACGGACAATGGGAGAGACAGAGACAGCATCAGAGAGACAGAGACACTGAGAGACATGGGGATAGCAGGAGAGACAGAGATAGGGAGAGTTAGAGACACAGAGAAACAAGGACAGCAGGAGAGTCAGACACAGAGATGAGGGAAAGATAACTGAGAGAAATAGGGACAGCAGGAGAGATAGGCACAGAGATGAGGAAGAGACATTGAAAGAAAAGGGACAGCAGAAAAGGTAGAGATGGGGGAGAGACAGAGATACTAAGAGAAATAGGGTCAGCAGGAGAGACAGGGCAGAGATGCAAAAACTCACACATACACACTCACACAATCACATGTACACAAATACACACACACACATCCTCTCTCTAGGCCCCGTGGGCTCAGGGCTCACACTGGGGCTGTCTCCCCAATGTGTCCTACAAGGCTGAGCAACACGCCTGACATTGGGGTTGGAGTTGCAGACCCGGTCAGCGGCCCTACTACTCACTGGCTGTGCCTGCCATGTCCTGGGAGTGGTCCTGGTCCCATTGTGTGGTGGGCACATGTCTGCTCCAGGGTGTTGGGGCAGGGCCCATCAGGGCCTGGCCAGGGGAAGGCCCCAGATGCACACAGAGGAAGGACAGATGACCAAGGACAGCCTGGCAGCTGCAGGAGTTAAAGTACATCCTGGGGTTCTGTGCAGAGGGAGGGCAGAGAACCAAGACACCTGCCCACCAGTGTCTGGCCCGGCTGCCCCTGTGGTCCGCGAACACCTACCCCCTCTGCATATCACTGTCCCCTGCCACAAGGCGCTGCCTCTGAACTGAAAGCCCATTGCCATCAAGCTGATTCCAACTCATAGCGACCCTATAGCGCAGAGTACAATTGCCCCATAGGGTTTCCAAGGAGCGGCTGGTGGATTCGAACTGCTGACCTTTTGGTTAGCAGCCGAGTTCTTAATCACTGTGCCACCAGGCTCGGAAACCCATAAATCTCCATGGGACCCCTGGACACAGGCTGGGCAGTGGAGGGAAGGAAGGCAAGAAAGGCCACATCCCGGGGGCCCAAAGGCCCAGCTCTGGAGCTCAGGCCTTGGGGTTGATGCAGGTCCCCAGGAGACCTCAACAGCTAGGTGTGGAGGGCTCTGGGCCTGTGGTCTTAGGGTAGAGTTCCCCTAGGAAGCCCGGGGACTTCCCAGACTCTGAGGGGTAGATAGATGGTGCAGGCTCTTGGCCTCCTTAAGCCCCAGGCCTGAAGTATCCCCTGACCCCTTGTCCACCCCTGCTGCCTCTCAGCGTTCCTCAGACTGTCCTAGGCTGAAGGGGGCACTGGGCGGGGAAACCTGGGCCCCCTTGGAGGCAGAGCCATGAAGGCCATGGGTGCCGGGGCAGAGCTTGCAATCAGGGCACACAGACCCCTCACTTTGGCCTCCGCCTTGATGTTCCTGCCACAGTCTCCACCACTCCTTTCCTGACCACGAGAGGCCGAGGACCTTATACCTCCGGTCCCTGCTGTGTGCAGCACGAACCCATGCTGGGGCACTCGGGAGGGGTCAGATAAGAGCCCTGCCCTGGGGCCACAGTATAGGCTCTTGGAGTGGTGGGAGCTGCCAGGGCAAGGAGCCAAGGAACAAGGAGGAGGTGTGATTTTATAAGGGGTGGGAGGACCACCAAGAGGGGCTTTGTGTGGGCATGGGTGTCCTGATGATCCTGCCAAGTCTCATCCCACCTGGCCCAGGAGCACAGCAGAAGCTGGGGGGTGGGGGGCAGTGGGCAGTGGGAAGGAGCAGTGAATAACAGGAGCTTGGGGCAACAGGGAGGATAGGGCCTTGATGGGGGAGGACATTGGCTTTGTTCTGTCTGGGCCTGGGGCCACAGGGTCTGACTTGCTGTATCTCATCTCTGGCTGCTGCATGGAGAAGGGATCTTGGGTGTAGGGTTGAGGTGGAGGAGTTGGGGGACCAGGGGCTGGGCCAGGGAAGGATAGTGGAAGTGGGAGAAGGGGTTGACCTGCTCATCATAGACTGGTTTACATGCACACAAAAGACAGGCAGAGATGCAGGCTGTCTCCTGTCTGCATATGTGTCAATGTCACGCATATTCACCCTGCCTCATTCCGTGGTCCCTAGCCTCTTGGTGTGGGACACCCCAGGGAGCTCTGAGACATACTGCCTCTCCCTTGACCCTCTGAAGGA